ACCTGACTGAAACTGATGTTTTGTATTTGTTTGGATTGATGGGAGATGACGAGGCATGAACTGAATCCTTTCGGGAAGAATTCCTGGCAGATGAGGTTGAACAAACGAGGAAGGGGGTGTGTCTTGTACCCTCCTGTCCCTGCTGGAAAGTTCCAGAAGCTTCACTTAGTTACCGGAAGGCCTAGTGGAGTCCATGGATTCCTGTCTTTTCCTGCAGCTCCCAGATGTTTTCTCTGGCCCAGCCTCAGACTCCCCCACCGCCCCCACTGCAATCTTAGATTTGGTGTGTGACTAGCATCCCACCCAGGTCAGCCCTGCCTAAATACCATCATCACCATGGTGCCCTGAGACTTTTCTCTTCCACCAGTCTTCACAAGTTAATGTGAAGCTTTGACTTGTGCTGCTCTCCACCTTCCACATGAAACCTTCAGTAGACACCCCCCAACCCGTCTGATGGCCAATACCCCTGTAACTACTGAGCATTTAAAATCTGCTTACTGTGACTGAGAAAATGGAATTCTAATTTCATTTAATTTAATTACAGTCATCCCTTCTTGTTCTCTGGGATTGGTTCCAAGATCTCTACAGCTAACAGTCCGTGGGTGCTCAAGTCCCTTATATATGATGACACAGTATTTGTGTATAACCTACACACACCCTCACATACATTTTAAATCCTCACTAGATTATTTATAATACCTAATACAAAGTAAATGCTACCTCCTAAGTAATTTAGATTGTGTTGTTTAGAGAATAATGTTAAGAAAAAAAGCCTGTATGTATTCAGTGTAGATAAAACTCTTTTGATCTTTTTGTGGGGAGTGAGGGACAGTATTGGGGTTTGAACTCAGGGCCTCCTACTTTGCTAGGTAGGCGCTCAGCCACTTGAGCCATTGAATCCACCAGCCCTGTTTTGTGTAGAGTATTTTCAAGATAGTCTCGTGAACTATTTGGGCTGACTTCAAACCATGATCCTCTTTGATCTCTGCCTCCTGAGTGGCTAGGATTACAGGTGTGAGCCACTGGTGCCCGGCTGGATTTTTTATTTATTTATTTATTTTTGGTGGTACTGGGGTTGGAACTCAGGGCTTTGCACTTGCCTAGGCAGGCACTCTACTGTTTGAGCTATGCCTCCAGCTCTCTTAGAATACTTTTAATCCTTGTTTAGTTGAATGTATAGATGCAGGACATTTAGATAAAGAAAGCTGACTATATTTTTTATTAATTTTTTTTGTTTTACCAGTACTGGGACTTGAACTCAGGGCCTCACACTTGTTGGGTAGGCACTCCACCACTTGAGCCACTCCACTAGCAATTTTAATTTTATTTCTGGAGGAAGGGTCACACTACATAGACAAGGTTGGCCTTGCAAACTTAAGATCCTCCTGCCTCAACCTCCAGAGTGCTAGGATTACTGGCATTAATCCTGATGCTGGGCTGTATAGCTGGTGGCTACAATCAGGCAGTGCAGTAGACTGTGCTGCAGCCGTACCCTGTTGGCACTCCTACAGCTTCTGTCATCTGGTCTCATATTCTTGGCATCACTGATCACGTTCTGCCTCTCCTCACTAGAACATGTATTGTGAGAGGGCTTCCTGTGTCTGTTGACCACTGTCTGATCATCCAGAACGGGCTTGGCACTCAGCCTTGAGGTGTGAAGGTACACGTGTGTTCTGAGACATGGCCTCTTCCCAAGTACTGAAAGGTATCTTGGGACAGAGGTCACAGGACATACTGCCTTTTTTGGCGGGCAGTACTGGGGTTTGAACTCAGGGCTTCATGCTTGCAAGGCAGGCACTCTACCATTTGAGCCACTCTGCCAGCCCTTTTTTGTGTTGGGTATTTTTGAGATAGGGTCTTTCGAACTGTTTGCCTGGGCTGGTCTCGAACTGTATCCTTCTGATTTCTGCCTTCTGAGTAGCTAAAATTACAGATGTGAGCCACCAGCTCTGTAAGATGGCTGGGACATACCATCTTATTCTTACCACTAGGCGAGAGCCACTGTCTCTGATCAACCTGCGGAAGAGGAATGTGGAATCTGGAGAGGAAGAGCTGGCATCCAGGCTGGATCACTATAAAGCCAAGGCCACAAGGCACATCTTCCTCATCAGGCACTCCCAGTACCATGTGGATGGCTCCCTGGAAAAGGACCGCACTCTGACCCCACTGGGTATGTGCTAGGCCTTGGACCCTGCTGATCCCTCAGTTGGCTTTGAAGATGCTTGAGGTACTCCATCTCCTCAAACCCATGTCAAGGGCCCCAGCTCACACCTGAACATTGTCATTTTCAGTAATTACTAGCTGAATTTGATCAGGAGCAGGTTTCTTGCTTGTTTGCTTTTCCTTTTAAGAGAGAGAAGTGAGAACTGGAGGAGTGACTCAAGTGGTAGAGTGCCTCCTTTGTAAGAATAAGCTTGGAGTCCAAACCCCAGTTCTACCAGAGAGAGAGGGAGACAGAGAGAGAGACAGATGGGTGAGACTCCTCTCGCTCTCTGTCTTATGGTCTACAACTTGAGCCACTCCACCAGCCCATTTTTATGATTGTTTTTTTTTGAGATAGGATCTTGTGAACTGTTTGCCCAGGGCTGCCCTTGAACCTTGAGCCTCCTGATCTCTGCCTCCTGAGTAGCTAGGACTACAGGCCTGGCCTGTTTTTGTTTTTTTTTTCCTTTTTTGAGACAGGGTCTTACTAGGTAGCCCAGGCTGGCCTTGAATCATGATTCTCTTGTCTCAGTCTCCTGAGTGCTGGGATTATAGGAGTGCACCACTATGCCTGGCTATAGGACACAGACAAACATATGTGCAGCACTTGCCTAGCATGTGCAGTGTCCTGAGTTTGATCTCTAGCACCAAAAAAAAAAAAAAATTAAAATTGCAACGGGTCTTACTTGAACAAGATCAGATTCAATGCCTATCCCAGCAGGGCTTTGTGTTCTTCCTGATGCTCTGAAGTAGCACCTCTCTTGATCACTTCTTTACTGAGCACCTTCTGCAGACCTGTGCAGCACTTAAGAGAATCTGTCCATTACCATCCTCAGCACAAGGTCATGACCCAGATGGGGCTGAGTGACAGAGACGTCCTGGTCCTCACAGGTAGGTTTATTGTTGGCTGCTTCATTTTCTCACTGCTATAGAAGTGCAGCCAGCAACTCCTCCTGTGTTTGTGCCTTGTGCAGTTGTTCCTGCAAGAGAAATTCCTGGAAAAGAAAGTGCAGGGTGGTCTGCAGCAGAGTCTGAATTTTATTTATGTATTAGAGCAAGGGTCTCACTGTGTTGTTCATGCTGGTCCTGAACTCCTAGGCTCAGGAGGTCCTTCTGTTTTAGCCACCCAAGTAGCTAGGACCTCAGGTGTGCACCACCATGCTTGGCTGAAATTAAATGTAAACAACTTCTTTGAATGGGACAGTACCTCTCTCTGTGCATTCAAAAAATGTGATGGTAAAAAAGGTTCCAGGTCTGTTCTCCAGAAGACTGAGCCCCGCTCTGAAGGGATGCTTCTGGCTCCTATGTAAGCATGCAGAGGAACCACATTGGAACATGGCTTCCTGGGTTGTTCTCAGCCAGTGCTAAAATTCATTTGAGGAAAAGCACATGTACTTGCAGCCCATGTGTGCCTGTCACCCTGGGGTGTTGAGTTTATGTGTTTTGGCATCTGTGTTAGAGTACTGGGGCGTGATTTCAGATGTGGTTGAGTAAGAGTGGTGTGAGCAGTAGCCAGTGCTGGCAGCTTTCCTCCTCGTTATTAATGGAATCAGATGCGTTTTTCTGTGTAGGCTTGAGAACAGTTTGCTCCATGAAGCCCTGGGCCTAACTGGGCCTGTGAGGCAGGGCCCTCGTGTCCTGTAAAGTGTCACAGTTTGTGCTGTGAGTACAAAAGGGCTCAGACACATGAGCTTCTCAAGTGTTTCTCCTTCAAGGTCGGGAACAGGCTGAACTCACAGGGCTCCGACTTGCAAGCTTGGGGTTGAAGTTTAGTAAAATCGTCCACTCCTCCATGACGCGTGCCGTGGAGACTACGGACATTATCAGCAAGCACCTGCCAGGTGAGTGCTGGGTGCCGGTGGTGGGCACTCCTGCCCAGCTGGCTTCTCAGATGCAGCTTCTCAGAGCACACCTTTGCTCTCCTCAGGTGTCTCTAGAGTCAGCACAGACCTGCTGCGGGAAGGTGCCCCCATCGAGCCCGACCCGCCTGTGTCTCACTGGAAGCCAGAGGCTGTGGTAAAAATGCCTCCCCCACGTACTTCATTTGGGACAGGGCTTGCCCTGTCAACCTCAGCCTTATCTGCTCCCACACTGACGATCCCTTGCTCTGCCTTCAGCAGTATTATGAAGATGGAGCCCGGATTGAGGCCGCCTTCCGGAACTACATCCACAGGGCAGACGCCAAGCAGGAGGAGGACAGCTACGAGATCTTCATATGCCACGCCAATGTCATCCGCTACATCGTGTGCAGGTAGGCACTGCTGGACTGCACTCAGCTCGGGGTATTTAGACAGGAAGGGGGAGATTAGAAGGCGGAGGCCACATGTCCACAGTGCACTCTGCTCTCTGCCCAGGTCCCAACACCCCCCTCAGAGTGGCTTGTGTCTTTCCTGGCCTCGGGGTTCTCTGTTGGGCGCTCCCTTAGTCTGTCTCAGGCTGGCCTTCTCAGTTACCTGTAGGGCATCTATCTGTCAGCTTCCACTTTGTTTTGTTGGCAAGAGCAGAACAACCAGGTTCCTGGTGCCTGAAGTGCCCTCTGGAGATGGAGTGTGACTAGGAGCTGTGTGCAGGCTTCCAGTGCTCTCTGAGATCAATCATTATCTGGGAATTGTGCAAAAACCCTATTTCCCATGGGTCCTACTGGCAGCAGTTAGGTCTGGATTTGCTCAGAGGGGATTCCATTTCCCAGCCTGCCTGTCACACAAACTGCTGAGTTTGTGTGATTGCAGATACATGGACATTCCCCTTTTGAGTCAGGACCTTTGACTATGCTGCTCAGACTGTTCTGTTGGGGCAGGAGTTCCTGTGTTGTGGGTCTTTTCCCCATTCTGCACACAGAACGATCAGGGCTCATGCTGTCTCCCAGCTATAGCCTCTTCTCATACACTTTCTATGCAGCCTCCACATCCGACAGAGGCCTCTTGGGTAGGAGGGCCACCAAAGGATTCACCAAATCTCAGTAAAGTGCAGTTTGAAATAAAGTGGTTCCCACCTCCCTCCCATTAGAAAATGCTCATCAGGACCCCATTAGCCAAAGGGTCTCTTCTCCGGTGACCGAGCATCCCTGGTGGTTGATGCCATCTGAAGCCGTGTGCTGGGTCTCTGCTCCATGGCCTTAGGCTCTTACCTGGGCCGTGGTATGGTTCCCCTCAGATGTTGCATGTGGGTCTGGCCAGAAGCCCAGGAGTGGCTTGGGAGGGTCACGAGAGCAGCAGTCCCAAGAAATGCAAGCTGTTGGGGATGTGGGATCCGCCTTCTGGCTTGGTTCACAGTGGCTATCGGGTCAGACTTCAGAGCTGGTGGGAAGGAGGGTGGCATCTCAATGGACAGGTGCTTAGCTCACACCCTCACGTAAGAGCAAAAACTCCAGGATGGTATGGTCCCAGCCATCTGCCAAGACCTCCTATGTGCTCACTCCCAAGCCTGTGAATGAGGTCTGGGATCTCTGCGCACGTTGACAACCCTATACCATATGCTGTCACTGGGAGCTGACACTAGTGCTGGAAACACAGTTGTACTCACCTGTGTAGGTGAAGTGCTGCGAGGCCCCCACTGCTCCTGTGCCAGTTCTGTCTTGGAGAGGGGTCCTGTGACTTGTGAGGGACAGTGCTGAGGAGGCGTTATAAAGCAACCCGAGCCAGGCACCAGTGGCTCACACCTGTAATCGTAGCTGTTCAGGAGGCAGGGATCAGAAGGATCCTCTTTCAAGGCCAGCCCAAATAGTTTGAGAGACCTTATTTTGAAAAAAACCCATTGCAAAAAAGGGCTGGTCGAGAGAATCAAGGTGTAGGTCCTGAGTTCAAGCCCCAGTACTGGAAAAAAAAAGCATAAGCTATGCTTTTAAGTTGACTAGCATGTTCAGCTATTGCTGAGCTGGGCTTGGCTTAGCCAGCTTCCTAAGGCTGGTGACTAGAAGGAAGCAGTGACATTGAGCTCTTCAGCATATACTTTAAAGAGAGCATGAAAGTGCTGAGGGGTTGTGGATCACACCTGTCCTGGGAGAAAGCCCCCAGGTCCTGTCAGAAATGGGTCTGGCACACTACAGAGCTGCCCCTTATATACTGGAAAGGCAGACGTGGAATCACACGTGCTGGCAAGAACCTAGCGTGTTTCTGACACAGTCCCACCAGGGGCGGGTCCTTATTTGGGACAGCCCCTTCCTCTGAGAGCCCTTTGTTGAAAACAGTGTCTGCTTGGAATGTCCAGAGGCTACTAGCCTTGTCTGACCCCAGCATTTGCTGCCTACAGTGTGATTCTGTACAAGCTGATCTGTAGGCCCGAGCCTCCCACTACCTTCTTCTCTCCCTTCCCAGAGCCCTGCAGTTTCCTCCAGAAGGTTGGCTCCGCCTCTCCCTCAACAATGGCAGCATCACTCACCTGGTGATCCGACCCAATGGCCGTGTGGCACTCAGGGCCCTAGGGGACACAGGATTCATGCCCCCTGAGAAGATCACCCGGTCCTGAGGCTACCTGCAAGACCACCCTCTCAGCTGGCAGCTTGTCCAGGCAGCGCTGCGGTTTCCTTTTGTGTCTTGAGGAAGAGGATGTCGGGAAAGTATGCAAATGTCTCACATGCTGTGTTTGGATACCTGTTTCTGGCCTAGGCTGAAAAAAAGGAACATTCTAGTCAATGGCCTGATTGTAAGCTTTTCTACTTTATATGCCTGCCAGGACAACCCTGTGGGGTATGTGGCGAGAACCTTCTCAGGCAGGAGGGCCTTCCTGAGGACTAAACAGGCCTCATCTTGCTGGGCCCTCAGGTGACTTCAGAAGATCCTGACCATAGTGGCTGAGCAACCCACAAGCTCTGACAGAAAGCCAGTCAGGCAAGACGATGGTTTTGTTCACAGCTCTTTTTGCTTCTTCATATATTCTAATTTCTGAAAACTGGTCATTTAAATATTTGTCGAAGGTTTTCCTCACCTGGGTTCTTGCTTTGTAAACGAGAGTTAAGAGATCTGATGTTGCTGTGTTTGAACTCACTGACGGACACAAGGGCTGATCACCCGCTGAGGTGAACCTGAGCTCTGAGGGAGGAAATGAGGCTGCAGAGCAGCTGTGGCTTGCTCCTCACTGAGAGAGGTGGTAGGTAGGTGACAGCCCTGTAGTCAGATCTCTGGAGCCAATGAAATATCCCAAACTAGCTGGGTCTGGTGGCTCACCATAAACCCAGCACTTGGGAGGCTGAGGCAGCAGAAGGACCTCAAACTTGAGGTCAGCCTGGGCTGCCAAGTGAGGCCCACTTCTACTACTGTTAAGCTTTTGGGTTAAAAAATTAGAAATGAGAAGTGTATCCCAAATCTTGTTAATTAATTTAAAAAGTATAATTTCTACAAAGTGGAAATGCTCTTGAGCATTTTCTGTACTCAATACAATGAACTGGGATATTTGATCCGTTTCTCTGTCCTCTTTGGAAATAACTATGTAATAAAATTTTAGTGTTTTTTCAAAAGTATTAATTGTGACTGCTTTAGAGAAAATAGGAACCTGTGCCATGAGACCAACAGCAGTTGTGTCTAATCCTTTCCTACAGTGTCTCATTCCCAGGGCTGGCAGCACCACTGCATGTCCTACTCAGAGGACATCCCACCAGCAGCATGTGCCATTTCCTAGAAATGGTGGTGCACTAGAGACTGCCAACTTCTAAACACAAAAAACTACGTGTGCCTCACTTCTGACCTCTGACAGTATAGAGGTAGTGAGTTGCCCATGGTTAGTGCAAAGGGCATGTCGTAGCCCTGACAGCTGACCTTGAGGAACCACATAGCATTTAAGGAACAATCTGTGGCTTTGAGGTGGGGCCCTAGCTCCTAGTGCATAAACAGGGTCTTGTCTCCTAAGGCTGTGATGTCCATCTTCAGGGAGGCACAGTGGTTGCTCTGGACAGCAATGAGCCTCCAAGTAGAAGCCAGGCTGTGCACTCTGGCCACCAGTCAGCTGCCCTAGCTACTCTCACACTGCCCTTCTGTCTCCCTGTCACAATGGGTCAAACCGATGCTGTGACCAGCCTGGAGCAGAAGGATGCTGCCAGTTTCATCAGTGAATCCCAAGACCAGTGATTCAGCAGATTTTTCAAATTCTTCTCCTAAGTGTGCTACTCAAGTTAGCTTTGAAGCCAACTATATGAAATTGAGCTGTCCAGATTTTGTCTGAAGGTTTTGTCTAAAACTGTTTGCTTCATTTTAAGAGCTTGTGGTGCCTGTACCCTGTATTTCTTTGAATGTGAGAACTTCACAATTTGATTTCCTTCTCTAATATAAATTCCCTGTCAACTTTTCTACCGCCAAGTCTTCCTCAATGGCTTTGCATCCCTGGCAGTGAGGATAGCTTCTGGATCAGTAGGTTACAGACACTGGGCAGGCCTGGGCTGAGAAGGCAGAGAAGCAGCAGAGCCCCCAACTGCCAGAGTGCCCCTGAGGACCTTCAGCCTGTGTATGTGTGCATGCTGTTAACACCTGGGAAGGAGTGAGTGTTCACAAGCCCATGCCAGGGAGGGAACTGGCCAGGGCATTTGGACAGTTACAGGGACCTAGCGATACCATGATGGAAAATGTCCACTGGTTTTTAGTGCTGGGGATTAAACCCATGCCCCTGGTTTGGGACTCATGATTGAAGACCTACTGAAACAATGGTAGCACTAAGCTAAATTGGCTGAAATGAAATTGTACACCAGGAGAGGGAATTTTTCACAACTATGTTAGGACAGAACATAGTCTCTCTCTTACTCTGCTCTGAGCACAGCAAGTAAGTTCAGCACAGTGTTGTGCACCTGTAGTACCAACTACTTGGGATTCTGAGGCTGGAGGATAGCTTGAGCCTAGGAGCTCAATTGCCTGGGCAATGGCAAGACCCGCATCTCAAAATAACCCAACAAATAAACCACACTTAGGTTAATGTAGTATTTCATAAAATGCTATTTACAAGGACAGAATTGCCAGGTGACATAAAGCATTTACTGGAACAGGTATCACCTTGTTCACACAAGTGGAGAAAATATCAAAGGTGGCCAAAAATTGCACTATGCAAATTAGGGCAAAAAACAAAATTCCTATTTGAATGTTGACAACAACATACAGGATGGTTTACTAAAGCTTCAGAGAAAACATCAGCTCTGAATGTAACATCCATGTTCTGATTTCTTTTTGAAAACAAAAACACCTTTTTTGGAATGTTATAGTTTTCAGAAGAGACTGTTTTACAGCCAGATCTTCCATACAACAAATGAAACACGCCATGTAACAAACTTCTGAATTCTAAATCCTAAATCTTTCTTATGCCTACTTAGTATCTTTGTATATGCTTAAAAAGTAAATTCAGGAAAACTATTTACAAAAGGCACTGAAGTTGGCAAATGCAGTGGTAGTTTTTTTGTTTTGGATGAAGCAGTACAAGTGTCTGCACAATACTGCTTGTGTGTGAGCAGCTGCTCAACAGCCAGGACAAGACCCATTATCACCATACTGGCAACTAAGCAGAGGAAACACTCAGGTGCGGGTGAGAAATAAAGACCTTCTGTTACTGCTGGTGAGAATTCTGTGACTACTTGCATGAGCCTTCCTCACCCCAGAACGTGTTTTCCAAGAGAAAGCTACTTCTATCTTCTGATCGGTGTTCAAGCATTGCCATAAGCCTGAGACTAAAATGCCCATTTGCTCTCTGCAACTCACTATGGAAAAGACTAGGGTCAAATGGTACCCAGGGCTGTGACATCATCATGTATCAGAAAGCTGCTCTCCAACAGGTGAGTTGATGCACAACTTGTGCAAGGGTTGTGAACTTGTGCAGGTATGCAGGGTTGCTGCTGCTAACGCTGAAGTTGACCCCCTCCAGAGCATCTCCTCAGGGCTGGGAGAGGACAGTACACTATCTTTGCACTTTTGCCCCATTTGAGGGAGGGTGTGAGTGAGGCAGGGTCTCACTCTGTAGCCCAAGCTGGCCCTGAACTTGTCTCCTCAAACGATGGGATTACACATATACACACCATCATGCCCAGCTTCCTTTGCTCTATTTGCACTTAGGAATCCCAACCTGAAATGTCTGGATCATTACTATAACCACATTTTTGAGAAACTTTGTATTAGATTTTTTTTTTTTTTTTTTTGCAATGCTGGGGATTGAACACAGTGAGTTTGCATTCACTAACTTCTTCCAAAATAACAGAAATTTAAATTTTACATTGGCATTTTCTAAAATTCTTATACCCTCAAAGTGAGGGTTAATAAATTACTCAGAATAAATTCTTTTGTGGAACTTTACCAATAAACATCATCCTTCTTCCTTTAAAAATGAAGGAAACAGCCCCAGCAGGGAGTGCCAATCCTACAGGGCTGCAAGTTGGGCCATGTGTGTCATCCTTCGGAGGTGGCTCCCATGTGCAGGACTGTAGCGGCCAGGGCTGCCCAAGCTGAGGGAGGAGGTGCTATGGCCAGACTTTCCAGGGCTGCTGCCAGCAGATCCACTTCGCCCCGGACTGCAACTCTGAGGGTAACCAAGATCTGGAAGCTGAGACTTTAACTTTCCTTTCAGTGCAGGGCTTGGCCAACTAGAATCAAACAAACAAACAAAAAAAATCTGTTAGCACAGATGGGTTGAGAGTACAGTCAAAAACATGGCAAGGACCTGGATAGATGCTACCAAATAGACACTTCTGAGCATCGAAGATTTTCCACACAAAACCTGTGTGACCCCAACTACAAATCCTGGATGCCACCATCCCTGCCACTCAGACTGTCGGGATAAGCTGGGTCTGCCTTTCCACTTACCTGTGTGCATCATGACCACACAGACACTAGGCCTGTACTGGAGGAGTTGCACACATTAGCGTGGTTAAGGGGATTGCAACTGACAGAACCACCCATACATGACCCCATTGTCACCTCTGTCTGTCTGAGGGAGAGTACCCCAGGACTGCACTCTTCCATCTGTGCACAGCTGGGTACAGGCCAGGGTCAACATCTGCACACCCGAGCGCTGCCAAGACATCCCGGTCTAGTTTTGATGGCTCCTCTCTAGGGTGTAAGATGGACGATGAAAGAAAAAGCAGAAACACCTCTGAGTGAAAAAACCAAAGACCTTCAAAATACCACTGCATTTTTAATTCAAGAACCTAGCAAACAAACAGAATGAGGTGCAAGACAATCTAGCTGAGCATGTTAACCACCAACTACCCCAGAATTTGAGGGCGTCAGCTGGAGGAAACAACAGGTAGTGTGAGAGCCAGAGCAGATAGTTGGCCACCATCCCCACCATCCCACAGTGAGTGCATGGGACAGGGCAAAGGTCACCTTCAGGACACAAGCTGCGTACCCCATGGTAGCTCCATCTACCCTGCTGTTGATAGGTGGTATTGGCTTCTGCCCCTTCTTGGGGCAGACTGAACTCCTTTAGTGGTGTTAACTGCCCTGGCAATAGCAGACCCCTGATCAGCCAGTCCAGCTGAAAGAAGACCCTTAGGAGTGTTACAAGTTACATACTCAAGACGAACAAAGATGGGAACCACTGTGTATGTCAACTGTGGGAAAGGAGAAGGCATCAAAGGAACTACAAACAGTGCCACAACTGTACAGAGCATTGCTCGCTTACCCAAAAAGGAAGAGTTTCCTGGTGGTGTCCCTCATGGTGGGCGAGGACACAGGTGCTACAGCAGTCTGGCTCCCAGACTTGGAGCTGCTGGGACCCCAGGACCTTTCAGCTGTTCCCACTGGAGTCTCATTGTTTGTCCCGACCTGGTTGTTTTCTACCAGTCTGTCTGCAACAGGGGGAGGTGCCAGTAAGGCACTTTCTTCTGTGTCCTTTCTTGAAGTCAAAACTTTCTTATCTTTAGTTTTCCTGTTTGATGTCTCGGAAAAGTTACTTCCTAGATTTTCCAAATTCAATTTATCAAACTCAAGAGTCAAATCAGAGACAGGTGGCAGAAGGGCCACCTCCCCATTGGGAGCCTCTGGTCCCCCCAAGCCTGGGGTCCTGTGATTCAGAAAATGGCAGAGCCCATTTCTGCTGCTGTGGGGACAGTGCTCATCTGAGGCTTCTCCACTGTTGGCCTTCTGCCCCAAGGGAAGGGCACCGCACTCTGTATTCCCAAAAGCTTGGATTGTGGGCTGGCTCTTATTTTGAACTGTATTCTGCCGATTTTTAATTTCTTCTAAGCTCATGTCATCCTCCTCGTCTAGAAATGCCCCCACGGAGATGGAATTGCTGTGCTTCTTCCCACTGCCTGTGAGAGCAACAGAGCAGCATATCATGTGCAGGACAGAACCAAGATGAGTGCTCTACTCAGCGTACTGTACGCCCTGTGCTCTCAGCACGAAATGACTCTAATGAACCACCTCATCAGGTTTCAATTCACACCATCACCTGCATTACTCCTGGAACACCACAAGTAGAAATTAACCTGGGGCCTCCTCCATGACAGGAAAGAATGCAAAGAAAAACTGAGGCCAAGGGCCAAGCCCAGGCAATGGGGCTGAGGATAAATGGCAGCCAGCTCCCCTCCAGCTCTGTCCTGCTGGAGCTCTAGAAAGATCACATGGAACAACTCCAAGAAGACTGCTGCACTGCTCTATTCTGCAAATGAAACAAGCAGAACTTCTTGAGAGCAGCACTGTGCTGCCCGCTGCCCACCACAGGGAAGTTTCCATCTTTGTTGTCAAAACAGCTGCCTCTTCAATTGAGCACATACTAGTCAGGAAATGAACTCACTTTTTTCCAACATTAATTAAATGCACACAGTCACATGGGACAATAGGGTTAGAGTAAGTAAGGCCACCTCCCAGCTCACCTGACCCCTAGCCTGGCCAGTCCATCCAATCACACCCAGAAGGTACATGCCCCTTGGCTGCAGCAGGGCAAAGCCTGAGGGCTGTAATGACCTCACTGCAGCTTCACATACCAGTCAGGGGCGACTCTTTAATTTTCGTTTCTTTTTAATTTAATGTATATGTGGACCACTTTAATTTTCTTTCCATCATTTCAGGGAATTTAATTTGCAAAGTGCTGTATAGGCTAATGGTTCAATTTTAGCTATATATTTTACTTTTTTCCCCCAGTATTGTGGTTTGAACTCAGGACCTCGTACTTGCTAGGCAGGTGCTCTACCACTTGAGCTATGCTCCCAGCCGTTTTTGCATTAATTATTTTTTAGGTAAGGACTCTCATTTTTGCCCAGGGTCAGTCTTAGACCTTGATCCTCCAAACTATAGCTTCCCAAATAACTGGGATGATAAGTGCAGACTGCCACACCTTATTGATTGCTTATTGATTGAGATGGGGCCTTGATAACTTTTTTGCCCAGGCTGGCTTCAAATCACTGTTTGGTCCTCCAGGTGTCCTCCTCTGGACTAGCTGTGATCACAGGCACCAAATGTACCCAGCTTAATTTTAACAGGGCATATTTGATCAGCTTGATTTTCTGAGATGAGAGTCTCCAGGGGAGAGTGGTGCTCAAGAAGGGGCGGTGGCAGCAGAGGCTCAGGAAGAAAGAGAAAGGGGATAAGCAGACTGGGGCTCCTCTTCCCCAGCTCTCCTCCATCTCACTGTTAATTCACTAATTTTGTTTTTAGATTAAAAGTTTTAATTACAAAAATGATATACACTACTTGCAAAAAATCTGGAAAACACTTTCAAGTGAAGCTGAATCCCAGTATCATAAGTTGTAATAACCCAACTATTTGAAAATGAATGTTATGCAAATACATTTAAGTTAAATAGAATTGTATTAAAATAACTATGGACTTTCGTCTTTTCTCCCATTGTATGCATTGTTGCACATGATTTATTGTAACTGTAAGCCCTTTTTCTACATCACTGATTACACTTTAAAAGCACAATTTTTAATTCTGCATAAGGACAGAACAATTTATTATCAATCTTCAACTGTTAGAAATAAGCTACGTTGAGTTTTCCACTGTTTCACAAACAAGGCTGGGGCTCTTGAGCATCTCTAACTCTTTGCTCACAAGTGATTCTGATCAAGCACCATGTCCACCCAGGCCTGGAGACAGCTTGATGGGAGGGTGCCACTCCTAACTTCCTGAAATACTTTCCACATTGGGATTTCACATATGTACTTTACTGCATTTCTTTTATTAATGGTGAAATACATTTATCTATCAGAGAGACTGGAGTTTGAACTCAGGGCTTTGCACTTGCAAAGCAGGCACTCTGGTTATTTTGGAGATAGGGGTCTTGTGAACTATTTGCCTAGGCTGGCCTCAAACAGTGATCCTCCCAACCTCAGCCTCCCAAGCATCTAGGAGGCATCCTGTGCCTTTTATTTCTTTTGAAGATTTTCTTCTCCTTTACCCATTTGCTTTGGGGGTATTTTTGTCTTTTTCTTACAGAATTTAAGAACTCTCACTATTTTCCTTTTTCTTCCTCCAATGCTGGGGAGAACCCAGGGCCTTGCTCATGCTGAACATGTGCTCTGCTACAGAGCTACACTACACCCCAGGCCAATTTTTCCTCTTTCAAAACGCTAAAGTGTTATGAATTACTTAATGTTGTTGTCAGATTAACCTTTTTGTGATCATTCATTCACTATTTTTGCGCTCTTTGAAGTGCTCTGTACCCTGAAGGCTGGCAAAACATGCCAGCATTCTGAAACCTGTCTTCCTTGTCTTTTTCCTGACATCATGCAATGTAGTCAAAGTATATTTAGAAAAAATACATAAGAAACAACACATCTAAACTATTACACCTGTAAGTTACTCAAATCTGGTCAGGAAACAAAGTCAGAAGTAGCAACACCACTTGCCATGAAGCCATGGTTCTCACATATATCTGCACAAATACCTTGTGACATCATCGTGAGGAAAAGTTCCCCATTTTCACAGTAAAATCACTTGAGGCAGAGAAGAGAACCTTATGGCCACTTAGCCCACACTTGCTCACCAGAGGAGAAAGCTTTGTCTCGAGGGCAGGCTTCATTTTCTCCTGTTTCTTCTTGAGCCCTTTTGCCCATTTCCTGTTGGGCAAGATACTCTTCAAGTCTTTGCAGGCCCTCCTGGGAAGACAGATCAACAAAACAGCCCAGAAATTCCCAGTATTCAACCCAGGGATACCCCAGCTCATGAGCTAGCTCCCTGTAAGAAATAAAACACAATTAACCAGTTGAGAACAACAGAAGAAATACCCACAGAACTGACTGCATAGAAAATAGTCACTTAATACTCAGAGGGTCAAAATAATGTCTGCAATCTTGGGTGTAATTTGTTTTATCCTAAACTTGGGGCTAGAATTAAATTTGCATTTTTCTAGCTCTTCCTTAACAGGTGAGACTCAGTAGCACCCCTTGAAGAGGGAGAGCTATACTCCCAGCTGCACTTACACTAGCTCCACAGCCAAAAAGTCACACAGTAATACCCTACCCATGCATACCTTTTTGGCCAGGCACATAAAAATCTAGAAGTCTGTGGCAGGGTCAAGCTATACACCTCAAATTGGGCCTATATTTTTAAAAACAACTCTACCATATCCCAGTAAACACCTCTAGGAATTGTTATCTTTAAGCAGTCGCAATCACTTTCCATCTTCCATCAGCACACACCACACTATGCAGAGATACCACTTAAGCCTATATTATCTCAGCATGGTCCTGTAAGTACCTCCCCACTCTCTCGATGCCTCGTTCAGGATCAGACTTCCTGACACTGTGGAAGAAGCCTGCTTTCTCTCGAGGTGGAGTTTTCCAGAGTTTGCGAAAATCTTCTGCCTAGGAAGAAAAGAAGTACTGAAATACACTCTGTCTCCAGCTCACCAGGATGTCAGAGCCACCAGCACCAGACGCCACAGCCATGTGGCTGCTCTGTGTACAAGAGAGGCTGCATGACCACACTTTGAACCTGGGCAAGGGGGTCTCCTGCTCTGCACCAGTCTAGTTTGTAAGGGCGAGATCCGGCCTAGGAGGCCCCTGAGAGGCTTTGCTAGCCCTGAGGACAGCGGCATCTCCCACCCCTACAGTATGTGTATATGCTTATACACATACCATGTTTCCCATTACACAAGAAAATAGACATTAATCTTCTGCATCACTCTTACGGGAGTTTAATGTTTAGTGCAATTCATGTAACCCTAAACATCTCATCTCATTTTGAAGACATTTTTATAGTGCCAAATAACTATTTAAAAGTTGGGTTTTCGGGCACTGGTGGCTCTTGCCTGCAATCCTGGCTACTCAGGAGGCTGAGATCAGGAGTACTGAGATTCGAAGCCAGCCTGGGCAAACAATTTGTGAGACCCTACTCCAAAATACTCAGTAACTTTAAAAAAAAACAAAGCAAAACAGGGTTGTTTGCCTCATCAGCACATGTACGAAAACTGGAATAATAGTAAGATTAGCATGATCCCTGCACAAGGATGACACACAAATTCATGAAGCATTCTATGCCTGGCTTATTTAGAAAGTTTTATTTTTTTTGGGCGGGGCGGGGGGGGAGGCCATACTGAGTTTGAACTCAGGTCCTTGTATTTGCTAGACAGGTGCTCTACCATTTGAGCCAGGTCTCCAGCCCTTTTTGGTTTTAGTTGTTTTGTCAGGTAGGGTCTCACTTTTTTTGCCTGGGCCAGTCTGGACTGTGGTCATCCTTCTTATCTTTCTCATGTAGCTGGGATGACGGGGCGCACCACCACAACCAGCTTTTTTGTTGAGATGAGGTCTAACTTTTTGCCCAGGCTGGCCTCAAACCATGATCCTCCCTATCTCTGCCTCTCAAGTACCTGGGATTACAGGTGTGAGCAACTGTGCCCACTTAGAAAGTTTTTAACAAGACCACATAAATGTCAGTGTGTGAAATATTTTACTGGAAAAGTTATAAATTTGGCAGAAAAACATGTTTAATACTTGACCTAGCAACTCTACCATTATGAACTTATTGAACATCGTATGTATGAGTACAGCCCAAATGGCTGAGGTCTGGATACAAATAAAGACCTCAAGGAAAGGTACATGATGTCAGGAGCTTGGACATTTGAGAGGAAGAGTAAGAGTTGCAAGCTGGTCTACAGAAAGAAGGTAGAACTGCAAACAGGTGTTTCCGAAGTCACAATGGACAGCTAGACCAGACAGGCAGGGCAGTCCATATGGAAGAATGGGACGACACTCAGGAGGGGTTGACCCAGATAAGTATCACTATGTTAAGAGGTGTGGCTCCCAGCACACCACCCCAGCTAATGTTCCAGAGCCTCTCAGTACCTCATGGCAAATGGCTTCAGATAAGGATGACCTTTGAGTTCCACAGGAGTTGGTCTTCAAGACCAGAGTAACAGGCTAGAGTGCCCAGCACTGCCACGTGGGGACAGAAGGATGATTCCAGAAATTTCCTTCCCCAGCAGCTCACCTTGGATGGACTCAGGGGCCCCACAAAAGCCCTCAGGGTCAGCACAGGGTCTCTGGGGCCACCTCTACAGTGGCTGGCATGGGAGGCCTCATCTGTCTGGTCTGAGGACCACAGCTCCCCAATGACCGGAGAGGAAGTATCTTCTGCTCTCAGAAGTGGCACATAGTATGACCTGAGGAAGAAGACAGGTGTCAACTGCAGGCTCCTACTTGCCTGCTGTGAGTCACGGTCTGAATGAACAGCAGGGAAACAATGGTGGAAGGAACCAGTAAGCTCTGGGGCTAGGACCACAGCAAAGACCAGTTTGTGCCAGGACTCACCTAACTTAGTGAGCCTCACTTTTTTTGTTGTTTTTTGTGGTACTGAGGTTTGAACTCAGGGCCTACACCTTGAGCCACTCCACCAGTCCTTTTTTGAGATAGGGTCTCACCAACTATTTCCCTGTGTTGGCTTTGAACCACGATCCTCCAGATCTCTGCCTCCTGAGTAACTAGGATTACAGGTGAGCCTCACTTCTTTAAGAAACGAAAGGAAGGGAAGGGGAGCAGGAGACAGCCCCAGGAAGCTCTAAGACCCTGGGGCTGAGAGCTAATACAGCAGGAGCTTAATACATGTTACAGAGGTCACATTTCCCACATCCTACCTCAAGTTACTCACTCCTATGGAAGACAGCTTTCAGGTCCATCCCCACAGCCCTGCAGTAAAGAGTCTTGCTAGAGCACTGCCTGTCATGCTGCCCACAAATACCTGAGAATTTTTTAAATTTTAAATGCTTGTAATACCTTTTATTAGTTTCTAATTATTTTATTCTATTTTCATTGTACATATACTGAAAACTACAGCAATTAAAATACTGTATTTCAGTATCTGCAATTGGGATTTTATCATATATGTATGAGATTTCACAGGTTGACAGGTTTTTTGGTTTTTTTTTTTTTTTCCCCTCAGTGGTACACGAAATAATGGACTTTTGTTTCATTTTATTTTATTTTTAAAGTACATGGTAAATTTCACCTATAACTGTCTACTCATAAAATACTAACATTTAGTTTTTGGCATATTCAAGTCCTTTAAATTATTGTGTGTGTGTGTGTGTGTGTGTGTGTGTGTGTGTGTGATTGAACCCAGAGCTTTGTGCTTGCTAAAATGACCTATGCACAAGCTCTACCATGGAGCACTACCCAAGCTCCTAAAAATTTATACCTAGGACTGGAGGTGTGGCTCAAGCAGTACAGTGCCTGCTTTGCAAACACAAAGCCCTGAGTTCAAACCCCATTACCACTAAAACAAACAAACAAACAAAAACAAAAAGCCCCAAACAATACAAAACTTATACCTAAAGGACTGGGGTATAGCTCAGTGGTAGACTGTGCCTCCAGGCTCAAGGCCCTGAGTTCCATCCTCAGCACTATGGGGAAAAAGCTGCATATACAAAACTGGATTCACACTCTAAGTAGTTTTATGTCTGGCTTTTTAACCCTATTTCATTTCCTCAAACACTGCAGGTCTTTCCTTATCTTTGCATAGATCTTGTTAGGTGGGGCAGCATTCAGCAGCAAGGCTGCAGCGTGCTTTCTGGTGGTGTCTACAACCCAAAAGAGGTCACAGCATGACCAACTAAACTGACCTACATCCAGGCTTCCCACACGACCCTCAGCAGGCAGCACAGAAGACATGCAGGGTTTGGTAGGACTGGGTAGCAAGCAGAAACATGAATGCAAAAGTGCTGTTCTAAGAAAACAATTGGCTGCCCACATTTTATGGTCAAGCACATCAGACAGAATAGCTACCGATTTCCACAAAGCAATACTAGCCAACATTTTAAGGCATTTCTGTCAGTGTGGCTTGAAAATCCACAGGACAGACCAATCACTGTACTTGTGTTCTATAATACAACTAGGGTCTCCAACTAATGCCAGATGGCTCAGGAAATACCTCTGTGGCCAATACCCCATGCTGGGATGCATTTCTTGTAAGTACATGGGTTTACAGGCAGGAAGCATAATTAGCAAAATTCTTAGGAAGGGATCAGAGGACAAATGGGTCAGGATCAGCACCACTTCTACAGAAGGACAGACATGAATGCTTGGGCTTCATGGGCTGCATCGCATGGTCTCGGAACTAGGCAAGTGCCCAGAAACAATGCGCTCTGGCTGTGTGCTCATACAGGAAAGGCAGGCAAAACCCAGGGGGCAGAGAGCTGCAATCTCACTCAGCAGAATCACCAGACATGGTGAGAGGTAGCAAAAAACAAAAACAAAAACAAAACGGCACTTTTGCATCTTCCGAGATTCACTGAAAATGACAGGAAGATGGTGAGACAAGCTCCTCCTAAAACCAATCATCTCCTCACACCTGAAGCCTACAGAACATAAGCACAGGTGACACAACATTCTTCTGATCAGAAGAGTTCTGGAGGCCTCAGAAAGCTAATTCATGGCCAGGTGCCATGGTGCACACCTATGGTCCTATCTACTTGGGAGACTGAGGCTTAAGCCCACGAGTTTGAGACCAACCTCGGTAGCATAGTGAGCCCTGATCTGAAAAAGAAAAAAAAAAGGACTGGGAGTGTAGCTCAAGTGGTAGAGCATCTACCTAGCAAGTGCAAGGCCCCAAGTTCAAACCCCAGTACTGCCAAACAAAAGAAAACAAAACAAAAACTCAGGAAAGAAAGAAGACTCCCACCTCAGTAGAAAGATGACCCCAACAGGCCATCATTTTTCTTTTTTTTTTTTTGGTGCTGAGTATTGAACCCAGGGCCTTGTGTATGCTGGGCAAGTGCTCTACCACTGAGCTGTATTCCCAGTCCCAGGGTCCTGGTCTTGGAAGGCTGAACCCAGTGGGGCAGTCAGGAGGGCAGCAGAGGGAGGCGGGTCCTCTTGTACATAAACCAACAAACAAAAGCCAAACCATCCAATCAAACTAGGAGCTCTCAGCCACAGTCCTTCTTGGAGAGGAATGATCAGAGAAACCTGTGAGAGATCCACAGGGACAGAGGGTGAGGCCTGAACACAAAGCACTCTCAAAAACAGCTCAAAGAATAGACTCAAGGGCTTGGGGCATGGCTTAAGTGTGAGGCCCTTAGTTCAAATCCCCATACTACAAGAAAAAAAAAGCAAACAAACAAAAACCACAATGAGGAGACGGTATAGATCAGTTGTACAGCACTTGCCTAGCATGCACAGGCCCTAGGTTCAATTCTCAGCACGAGAGGAAAAGAAAGGAGTGAGTGAAACGCTAGGTGGCATGGAGTTAAAAGTGGACCAGTGCTGGAAAGAAAGTGATGGGGGATCCTGAGATGAAGTCTCTGACCGGAATTCATAGCACCACTTTCCCAGAGAATTTACAAAGGGAAGACAATGCCCTGCTGTTCGGCCCCAGAACACAAGGCCCACGGGCTCTGTCTGTCTCACAATAGGCCTCACATTCCAGGAACAGAGTCCCCAACTCACCCTTTAAATATTCTCTGATCTTCCCTTTCAGTTCCATAGGTTTACTTTTGCTTCTTTCACAAATTACCTATTTAAACAAAACACACTAAGTGAACATTCTAAATTTTAACGATATCACAACATTTAGGAAATGTGATAAGGTATCAATAAAATGATCTTTCAAAAGTAAGTTTTAAAAAAATCTTAAGTTCTAAAGTCAATAAAATAGGATGTTATCTTAATTCTAATGATTCATAAAGCTCACTCTCAAAAAAAGTGCTCAATAGCACAGCCTGTATTATGGAGGCTTTTGAAAAGGGCAAGAGAACAGAGTTCAGGATGATGAGTAAATTTTTTTTTCTTCATGTGACATTACATTTTCCTGTTTTCTGCAAGGAAATGAAAACGTGAATGTGCACTATCAGTTTTCTCAGTTGACACAGCCTGGGAGCCTACTCTCCATATTTAAATTTCTGCTGTTGCATAGCTGGTTGAGGTAGAGCTACTACCTCAGGGGAAATACAAATGTTGTATCTTTTCAACAACAGCAATCAACTTCCTGAGCCCTTAGACAATTGTAGCAATAAGAATATTTTTATTTGAAGCAATATTAAAACATCCTTCAAAGTAGAGAAAAGAAATGAACCACAAAATTACCAGTCTGTGAGACACTAAAATTCTAAGTACAACTAAGCATTTTTTTTAAGCCCAATGTTTCAAAAACGTGGTGAGTTAGGACTGGGGGTGTAGCTCAAAGTGCGTGTCTCACAAGCAGGAAGCCCTGAGTTCAAACCCCAATACTGCCAAAAAAAAAAAAAAAAAACCAAAAGATACAACACATCAAGTTGAGTCATATACATAACAAAGGTAATTTTTCAGTTGCACAATTTTCTGATGAACTATATTCTTTTTAATATATGTATTCTAAACATCCTATAGAGTGGAAGAGGAAAGAGACTGCTACCACCAAAAGGGTCCTTCAGGTTTCATTTCTAAGAGTGATAGGTCCAGCTCAGCTAACATACAGTGTGTGGTCCTCAAGCTAGCCTCAGTTTTCATCAGCTCCAGTCTCCTCTTACATATCACAGGCACAGGATGAAAGTGGCACATCTTGCTCAGTGCTACAGATCATGAAGAGGTCTGCTTTGCAAGGTGTGAATTGATTGTGTGAGGGAAAATGTGTGAGGGTCTTAGCATGGCACCTGGTTCACCTTGAGCAGAATGTATCAGCTGCTTTCAGCATCACCACCACCACCATTATCCCCCATCTCCATCACACCCCCACATCACTGCCTCCATTCTCTCTGAATTTGATCAGCTAATGTGTTTACAGGGGGAACATGATAAAGGACTGTGAGCTGTTTAGAAAAACTGACTCTCAGTTTCAGGAAAACAAACAAACAAACAAAAAAACCCCAGCAGATTGGGTGAGCTCATTCTATCCTGGCTCTACAGATGCATCATCTTTACAGAGCATATCTGGCTCAACAGTCAGTGTTCTAAACATGCCCAAACATGCCCACAGGCAAACACAATTAATGAGTTACCTGTGACTTCACTGTAGCTATGGTCATAGACTGCACACTTACGTTTGCATTTCTAACACTAGTTAGCAACTGCATTTTAATAATTACTTACATCTTCAGGTGTTTTGCCATATTTATTCTTT